GTAAGTCCAAGGGGAATAATTAGGCATTTCATACTTCCACTCACTTAATACTGAAAGACATAGGCTAGCATATATTATTGTCCATTTATAAGTTTGTAATAAATTAGTCATTATAGCTACAAAACAGAATGGAAATTTGAAGGGTTTATTTTTTTACTGATATCTAAGGATCATAATTAAAAAAACCTAATATAAATAGTTTTTAAAAATTCCAGTTTATTTTATAAGTAACATGGAAATATTGCTTGAAGCTATGGCTATTATTTCACTAGAGTAATGTCAATATTGGTAAGGGCCACTGAGTAATGGATAGCATGTCTTTGCTTTATTTCTTTCATTCAGAAAGGTATTAAAAGCTTAAATATAGGTGTTGTAAATAATTTTATAATTATTTAAGAAATGTGTACCTAAATTTTATAAATTGCCCATGCACTTGCCATTTTTCTAGAACTTTTGTAAAGATGTTCATGACATTATCTTGCGTATTGTACAGTAATTACACTATATAATTATAAGACTGAACATACTTATATCAATCACATAATTGGTTATAATTAAGCTAATTAGACTAATTATACAATTAGACAATAACCAACCTAAAATTTATTTTTACAAATCATGGAAATTCACATGAAAAAAGCCTCCCAGTGTCACAGAATGTGAAATTTATATGATCTACAACATAAAATTAATTTTATTTGATAAATCAGTTATAAATTATAAAGTCTAAATTATGTTTATACTCACATGTATACATACATGCCAGTTGATAGTACATATGTGTGTATGTACCTAAACACACATACACTCACACATTAGTATTCTCTGTTTTATTACACATTATTCTGTATTTTTAAAAAATATTTTTCATCATTTCCTGACTGTGGTGACCTAAGAAGATGTGGTTCAAATTCTTCCATAATTCTGCCTGTTATTTTTCATATTCCTTCAACAGACTTCATCTGTATTAGCCTCTCTCTCCCTTGACATGGTATATATATTACTCTTACATGTTAACTTAGAAGACCATGCTACATGGGTTCATGTATCCTGGTACCTTGTTTTCTCACTGAAAGAAGTAATTGCCTTAGTTCTAATCCCATGATAGGCAAATTGTTGGGAAATTATGGATCTAGAGGTTTTTCTTTCTGTTATGTCTGTCCTATCTAAGTCCATTTTGTATTTCTATAAAGGAATACCTGAGACTGGGTAATTTAAAAAGAAAAGAAGTTTATTTGGATCACAGTTCTGCATGCTGTACAAGAAATATGACATTGGTATCTGAGTTTTTTAAAGGCCTGCGTATGCTTCTACACATGATGGAAGGCAAAGGGAGATTCTTGTGCAGAGATTACATGGTGAGAGAGGAAGCAAGGGGGGCAGGCTCTTTTTAACAACTAGCTCTCATGGGAACTGATAGAATGAGAACTCACCCCACCACCACACTGAGGGAGGGCATTAATTTATTCATGAAGAATCTACCCCCAAATATCCAAATACCTCCCATTCAGTTCCACCTCCAACATTGAGATTGAGAATGTCAACATGAAGTTTGGGAGACAGATATCCAAACCATAGAAACTTTACTTAAGTCCATTTTGCTGCTGTGTTCTTGGTGAGAATTAACTAGGCTGTGCATGTGCAAACCATTGTTTTTATTCAGCATACTTGGTCTTTAAAGAATAGGAATCATCTCAAAGAGTAGCATGAGTTTTCATTTTAATCTCAATATTACTTTTCAATTTATATTCTTTACTTTTAAATGACATAAATACCATCAGCATTCCAACCACAAAAACTCAGGTATACAAAACATTTCAAGACTGTATCCATTATAAAAGTGACCTCTGTATTTTAATGGCTTCATTGCTGTTGGTTCAGATGTACTTGATTGTTTTACATTTTTCGCTTGGGTCTTACTTCTCTTTTATATTCTCTTGTACATAGCTGTTTATTTCTACTATGGATGGCCCCAAAGTCAGCTTCATAAATCCATTTTGCAGCCTACCCTGATGTAAATAATTGTTTTATTCCTACTACTATTAGAGCCAATATGGCTTAAAAATGTGTACTTAAAACTTACTGTGTGCAAGATGATGGGTTGGCTCTATTCTTTTCTAGTCAGCAAACTTCTAAGTTGACAAAATGCAAAACACTGCACAAATGGCAGAGATTAGAATTTAAAGTGATGTTATCTCATAGAATTGAAAAGAATCAATGCAGATATATAATGAAAATGACAAAAACATATATAAATATGTATACAAAATATACATATAAGCAGACAAAAGATATTAACTCAGAAAATAAAAGGGAAAAATGTAGGAAGGACACACTTTTAGAGGCTGGCTCAGAGGTAAGAGCTTTTAGCTAGAAAAGTCTTCCTTGAAATACTGGCTGTTAGGTACTACTCAAAATGACTGGAGGGATATTTGTTATTTGGTGGAGTAGAGAGTTATGGCTGGTGAATATCAGGTTTAAAATATTTTCCAAAAGGAGAAGACAAGCCTTGGAGAAAAAAATCAGACAGATGAGATTAGTGGCATTAAGCACAGAATATACAACTTTAGAATAAATACAAATCTACTCTTATGGCTCATCTAATCTGGCCTCTTTTAAGCTCTGAAATTTTGTTTCATTCCATAATTTTCATTCATTGCTGTATACTCCAGTCTCATTAATTTTCTATCTAGCCCATCAATAAGCCAACTTTACTGCTATGTCAGGGTCTCTGCAGTTGTTGTTCCCAGTGTTATGTTGTACCACTCATCCCTCAGATACCTTTCAACATTCAACTCAGATGTGACCTCCTTAGAGATGCTTCCCAGACTGTCTCATCTAGAGTAGCTCACCACATCTTCATCTCTCCCTATCTCTATTACCTTGCTTGATTTATTTAATAGCATTTAATACTCTTTAAAATTATCCACTATATCCTCTGTATTTATTTAGGTATTTATTGTTTCAAACATATATGCTCCGTATTTTTCCCACTGTGTTCCCAGAATTTAGAAAGGACTTGGCACAGAGAATGTACTATTAATGAGTGATTATCTCAGTGCATTGAAATAAGGCTATAGTTATAATAATTTTACATAAATTTTTTATTGAAATATATTTATAAAAAAGTACATAACGTATAAGTGTACAGCTTGATGAGTTTTTAGAGAGATCATACCCCTCGTAGTAACTTGAAGATCCAGAAACAGAACTTTAGAGCATGGTTGCAGATAATTTTAAGTCACCAACTGGCTATTTATTAACATTTGATAGATAGGACATGCTATAGCTAGCCATAGCATAACATTTAAAATAACTAACTTTCCTTGATATAGTTGTTAATTTTTACAAAGAATAGGGAGGACCAGGAGATTTGGCCATGTACTGGTTCTAGTCATACAAGTGAAAATATTGAAATACGGAAATATTACAGTCAAAGAATCAGATGGTTTCCAATTGATTATTAGTGTGACAATATTTATAGAAAGAGCAAAAAAATGAGAAAGTAATGAGAATGATACACAAAATATAGCAGACATAAGCAAAAGACAGAATGCTTAGTGAGAAAGAATGAAGTCTAATTTTATAAATTTTATATTTTATGTTTTAAGTCATTATGATTATATATTCATGACTGCATTTCTTCTCAGGGGATATATTGCGTGAGAAAGACCAAAATTTAAGTATGTCTTGTTAATACAAAAATATTTGTTAAACAATGGATATAAAAATCTCCCTATTGGCCGGGCGCGGTGGCTCACGCCTGTAATCCTAGCTCTCTGGGAGGCCGAGGTGGGCGGATTGTTTGAGCTCAAGAGTTCGAGACCAGCCTGAGCAAGAGCGAGACCCCGCCTCTACTAAAATTAGAAAGACATTAATCGGCCAACTAAAAATATATACAAAAAAATCAGCCGGGCATGGTGGCACATGCCTGTAGTCCCAGCTACTCGGGAGGCTGAGGCAGTAGGATTGCTTGAGCCCAGGAGTTTGAGGTTGCTGTGAGCTAGGCTGACGCCACGGCACTCACTCTAGCCCGGGCAAAAAGAGTGAGACTCTGTCTCAAAAAAAAAAAAAAAAAAAATCTCCCTATTATGTGTTGTAGAAGATACAGATACCTCTGTCCCTAAGGTCCTTAAGATTCAGTTAAAGAACATAAGTCAACATATCGAAAGATAACTCTTTACCAAACACTAAATAGTGAGTTGTACATAGATGTCATAGTATAAGATGCAATATATACTGCAAAAAAAGAGAATTTACTTCTAACTGATGAAGTATGAAGGGGCTTCACAAAGTAAGTACATAGCTTTTGAACTACACATCAGTCCAGACAGGAACAGAAAAAGATTCATATCAATGGGTGGGGTGTATTTTCTTTAAAAATGTCAAAGTGTTGGAAAATCATAAAGAGAAATCTCAAAATCATGACAAATCTAATTTGATGGCAATAAAGAGTTTCTGTGAGGAATAAGGAAAAAGTAGTTTTGCTTAGTTACATAGAGTCTCAAATGACAAACTAAGGGTTTTGAAATGGTCTTTCAGTGAAGGAGAGAATTTAGGGATTTCCAGCATGTAGATGATGCAATATAGGCATGTCTACATGTTTGGTGGTAACATACAGAATGATCAGGGTGAAGGTGAGCTGCAGTTCTCTGTAGCAAGCAACATATTACCTTAACCAGAATAAATACCCAAGCAATACTTTTTAAATCAATGGTTGATGAGGGTCTAAAGCAACTGTGATGCCTACAGGATTGGAAAGGAAAGGTCATTTGTGAAAGAAAAAATGAACAATGAGTCAAAAGCACTGTTGTTGAATTTTGGGGAATGAGAAGCAGTGAAGAGTAGATGACAACATGAGGTCTGATTGTGAATTATGGGGAGAATGATGGTGGCTGTCATTAAGAAAGTAATAGAGCATCAGAAGAGAAAACTGATGTAAGGTGACAGGGTTAATAAGTGCAGTGGGATGGTGAAAACACTGAGTTTGAGATGACACGATGTGTCCTACTGATGAAAATGTTTACCAAGTAGTTATCAAAGAATGTGAGATGAGGATAAAGGTCAGAGGTAGAGCTGTGGGAGGGGTCATGCACAGAGAGGTCAAGGGGAAATCCTGGAAGAAATATAAAGATCTAGAGAAATACAATAAAAGACAAGTCTTTGGTTCATTGGTAAAATATGAAGTGTGTGGGGTTGTGTTTTGCTTTGTTTTTAAATTTTTTTTTGGTTTTTTTTTTTTTGACTGAGGAGATGAGTAATGCAGTAAAAATAAAAGTCAATAAATGACCAAAATAAAAAGAATGGCCAAAGGAAATTAGAAAAGCAGGATCAATTATCTTAAGAGATCCAGAAGCAAAAGAAATAATCAAGTGTAACAGAGTAATCACTAGTAAATATTGCAACTAAAAAGGCATGAAGACTTATGAACATCTAGAATTTATTAATTACGATAATGGTGATTTTTGCAGTGTGATTTTTTTCCTTTTGCTTATAGATTCGTCAGTTATCTTTACATAAATGCTAATTGAATCTATGATAATGGATCAGATTCAACTAGGAGTATATTATTAGTATTAAGAGAAGATTGCAGACTTCAGTGGATCAAAAATGAAATGGAAAAACAACCAAGAAATGACTAAGTTATTATAAGTTTTAGATATAAGCAAAGAAGTATGGAATCATAAAAAAGAAAGATTTATTGAATTTTAACAAAAGTTCATCATTAATGACATTAGTAGTTACAATTTCAGTGGAGTGTTGAAAAAGTAGTATTCATAAAATATCAATTAAAAATAATTTGTCAGTGGAAACAGAAACAAGAAGTACTGACAGACTATAGTTAACTCTATGTGACTAAAGAAACTATCATTAAATATATATCTAAATGACACTGTTCATCCCTTGTTTATATTTGAGATTCATTGTCACTACATGGTTGCTTTTAGAATATTGACTACATATAATAAACCTTTAAGAAAGATTATAGTTTGTTTCCTTTTTAGAATAATTATATATAATATGTAAATACATATATTATATATTATTTTATTACATCATTATATATGTGTAACTTCATATATCTATAACTATATCATGTATATCCATCTGTCATTTATATTTCTGTTGAGTTTCATTTAAGTTTTCTTTCTTTCGATAAGGTCCAAGTTTTGCCTGATTCTGATATTTTGTCTTCAGTACAAATTTCCTTCCAAAACTAAAAATGTAATCTAGATAAATTGTTACTAGAAGAATAGACCCTCTTTCTTTTTTATAATGTACACAAATATCTATTGATTATGTGTCATATAGTAAGGACATTTTTTCTAAATGCATTTAATCTCTGATTTTATTTTATTTATTTAACATCTATTGAATTTATATCATTGCCAAGCAAGTATTAAATTCTGGAAAAATTAATATGTATAAAGCAAAGCCCTGGATAGTTATAGTATTTTTAATTGAAAGAGTGACTCATTTAAAAGGTGTCTCCTCTACACTAAGTCCTGTGCTATGTGCTCGGAATATAATTCTGAGAGCAAGGCAGACATAATCTTTACTCTCTAAGTTCTCCTGACAAGGGGAAGAGTCTGTCAGAAAATAAATTCATTACCTAAATAAATGTAAAGATGAGACTGCTACAAAGAAAAGCATATCTTGTAAAAGGGATTCCTCCTACTTCAGAAAGTTGAGGAATAGCTTACCTGTGGAAGAGAGGAGTATTGGCATCTGAGAATGAAATGGAGTTGATTAGGTGTAGAGCTGAAAAGCCAGATATTTGCAAAGGGTCCACGGAAGGGTGGAAATTGGATGTATTTAAGGTACAAAGAGAATGAAATAAGACCAGAAATTCAAGAATGCAGATCATATAGAGTTGACAGAAATGTTAATAACTCTTGTATTAATCTGTGAGAACAATACTAAGTCATTTACATGATTTAGCATGGAAATAGTGTGATCAGATTTCATAGTTTAAAAAAGTGAAAAAAAATGGTAACTATGCGAGGTGATGTATATGTTATTAATAATTAGCTTGATTATGGTGATTATTTCACAATGTATAAGTATATCAAAACATACAGCTGTATACCTTAAATGGTGCAGTCCCTAATGTCCAGGTTGGGGACCAGTACCAGTCCATGGCCTGTTAGGAACCAGGCCGCACATCAGGAGATGAGCAGCAGGTGATGGAGGGAAGCTTCATCTGTATTTACAGCCACTCCCCATAGTTCACATCACTTCCTGAGCTCCGCCTCCTGTCAGATCAGTGATGGCATTAGATTCTCATAGGAGCGCAAACCTGTCTGTAAACTGCACATGCAAAGGATCTAGGTTGTGTGCTCCTTATAAGAATCTAATGCCTGATAACTTGAGGTGGAGCTGAGGCAGTGATGTCAGCACTGGGGAGTGACTACAAATACAGATTATCATTAACAGAGAGGTTTGATTGCACAGAGACCATAATAAATCAATTGCTTGCAGACTCATATCAAAACCCTATCAGTCAGTGACAAATGACAATTAAGCTGCATCTGGTGGCAGGCTTTACAGTACCAAGTGAGTTGATGTACTTCAATTGTACAGCTACATCTGGTGGCAGGCTTTATAGTCAGAATCTAACACTAATTTTAATCTGCACATGGCTCACCCATTATTTTATTTACCACTTCCATCTGTGCCTCTTGACTACATTGCACACTTGTCTCAGTTACAGTTTTGGTAAGCCCACAAGCTAACCCTAGCAAAAATGAATAAAAAACAAATGTCACTTTTTGTAAAAGATGAAAGGTGCAGATCCTGTTTCAGTCTTCTACATGAGGCTATCTGATTTACCAGCACCATTTATTGAATAAGGATTCTTTTCCCATTGTATGTTTTTGTCTGCTTTGTCAAGGATTAGATGACTATATAAGGATGGATTTGTATCTGGGTTCTCAGTTCTGTTCCATTGGTCTATGTCTCTGTTCTTGTGCCAGTACCATGATGTTTTAGTTATTATAGCCTTGTAGTATAGCTTGAAGTCTGGTAAATTGATGCCTCCCAATTTGTTCTTTTTCCTTAAGATTGCTTTTGCTATACAGGGTCTTCTCTGTTTTCATACAAAGCATAGAATTATTTTTTCTAGGTTTGTGAAAAATGATGTTGGTATTTTAATAGGGATTGCATTGAATCTGTAAATCACTTTGGGTAGTATAGAAACCTCTCACAAAAACCAACTAACGGTAGATAACAGACTTAAACCTAAAGCATGAAACTATAAGAATTGTAGAAGAAAATATTAGAAAAACTCTTACAGACATTGGCCTAGGGAAAGAATTTATGAAGACGCCAAAGGCAATCACTGCAACAACAAAAATAAATAAAAGGGACCTGATCAAATTAAAAATCTTCTTCACAGCTAAGGAAACTATCACGAGAGCAAACAGACAACCTACAGAATGGGAGAAAGTATTTGGATGCTACACATCCGATAAAGGGATCATAACTAGAATCTATATAGAACTCAGGACAATAAGCAAGAAAAATTCACACAACCCAATTAAAATGTGGGCAAAGGATATGAACAGAAACTTTTCAAAAGAAGATAGACTAATGACCAAAAACATGAAAAATGATCAACCTCTCTAATCATCAGGGAAATCCAAATCTAAACCATAATGAGATATCACTTAACTCCAGTGAGAATGGCTTTTATCAAAAAGTCCCAAAACAATAAATTTTGACATGGATGTGGAGAGATAGGAACACTCATAGACTGCTGATGGGACTGCGAACCAGTACAACCTCTGTGGAAAGCAATACAGAGATACCTCAAAGAACTAAAAGTAGAACTAACATTGGATTCAGCAATCCCACTACTGGTTATCTACCCAAAGGAAAAAAACTCATTCTATAAAAAAAGTCATGTGCACTTGAATATGTATAGCAGCACAATTCACAACTGCAAAGATGTGGAAACATCCCAAGTGCCCATCAATACATGAGTGGATTAATAAAATGTATATGTATACCATGGAGTTGTACTCAGCCACAAAAACCAATGGTGATCTAGCACTTTTTGTATTATCCTGGATAGATCTGGAGCCCATTCTACTAAGTGAAGTATCACAAGAATGGAAAAACAAGCATCACAGATACTCAACATCAAATTGGTATGAATTGATCAAGACTGTGTGCACATCTAGTAGTAACATTCACTGGGTGTCAAGCAGGTGGGAGGGAGGAGGAGAAAGGAGAGAATAGGTATATTCACACCTAATGGGTGCAGTGTGCACCATCTGAGGGATGGACATGTGTTAAGCCCTGACTCAGGCACAGCAAAGACAATGTATGTAACCTAAACATTTGTACCCCCGTAATATGTTGAAATAAGAAATTAAAAAAAAAAAACTTTGCTGGAGAGCTTCCTTCAAAAGGGGGAAAGACCCAAGGATGAGACAGCAGGAGACTCTAAGACTGCCAACAAAATGAAAGCTGCATGTAAAAGAAAATATCAAGAGTCCTACTTCAATTATGGGTTCATTGCAACAGGTGATTCACATTCTCCAAGCCCTCTTTGTATAAAATGTGATGGCCAGCTATCCAAGGAAGCCATGAAACCTTCAAATCTGCTTTGCCACGTGGAAACCAAGCACTTTGCATTAAAAGTCAAGCCTTTAGAGTTTTTCAAAAGAAAAATGAACACTAAGAACAGAAGCAATTATTGAAGACCACAACTTCACCAAATGTGTCTGCACTGAGAGCATCATTCTTAGTGGCTAACCACATTGCTAAAGCTAAGAAGCCTTTTACTATTGGTGAGGAGTTGATCCTGCCTCCTGGCAAGGACAATTGCCATGAACTTTTAGGAGAGGTCACAGTTCAAAAGGTGGCACATATCTGTCTTTTGTCTAGAACCATAGCTAGACAATTTGATGAAATAGCAGAGGATATTGAGGCTCAATTGTTAAAGAGGATTAATGAATCACCCACCATGGTACGCAATCCAGGTTGAAGAGTCTACCGGTGTTGACAAGGCAACAGTTCTTATGTTTGTGCGATATATTTTTCAGAAGGATGTGCATGTGGATATGTTATGTGCACTTTTGTTGGCACCCAACACCACAGCTGCAGAACTATACAAGTCTTTGAATGATTACATATCAGGAAAACTGAATTGGTCATTTTATGCAGGTATATGCATGGACCGAGTGGCTGCTATGACTGCACGGCTTTTTGGTGTCATTGCATGGGTCAAGGAGGTGGCTTCTAAATGTGATTCTGTGCACTATATCATCCATATAGAAATGTTGGCTAACCAAAAAATGTCACCTGAACTAAACAACATTTTGCAGGATGTGATTAAAATTATCAACCACATTAACATACATGCCCTTAACTCATGTCTGTTCACACAGCTCTGTAAGGAGATGGACACAAAGCACACTAGTTTTCTCTTACACACAGAGGTAAGATGGCTTTCTAAAGAAAGTTTTTGAGTTACAAGCTGCTCCAGAGATTTCTTTTAGAAAACAGTCACCACTGGGAGCACATTTCAGTGACACAGAATGGGTTGCAAAACTTGCTTACTATGTGATGTATTCAACCTGCTCAACGAACTCAATCCGCCACTTCAGGGGAGAATGGCAACTGTGTTCAAGTTGGCAGATGAAGCGGCTGCATTCAAAGCCAAATTAGAATTATGGGGTCAATGGGTGAACATTGGGATTTTTGACAGGTTTCAAACATTGGAAGAGATTTTAAAAGAGACTGAACCAAGGCCTTCTTTCTCCTAGCTAATACATGATCACCTATCTCAGCTTTCAAGAATTTCAACATTACTTCTAAACTGCAAAAGACCCCAGAACTGGGAAGGAATGAATCCATGACCCATTTATGAATAAACTGGGTGAATTGACTTTCTTCATGCTGGAAGAGGATCAACTGCTTGAGATCACAAATGACAAATCACAAATGGCAGTATCCTTAAAGTATATCTGAGACAACTTCAAATCTCCATGCATTCTGGATTAAAGTCAAGGCAGAAAATTCTGAGATTGCCACAAAAGCACTGAAAATCCTGTTTCCGTTTCCAACATCCTGTTTTTGTAAAGCAGGATTTTCTGCAGTGACAGCAACAAAAACAAGATTATAGAGTAGACTGGACATAAGCAACACACTTTGGGGGGGGTGTCACTGTCTCCCATCACCCCCAGATGGACTGTCTAGTTGTAGGAAAACAAGCTCAGGGCTCCCACCAATTCTGCATTATGGTGAGTTGTATAATTATTCCATTATATATTACAATGTAATAATAATAGAAATAAAGTGCACAATAATATAATGCACTTGAATCATCCCAAAACCATCCCGCTCCCTGCCCCAGTCCGTGGAAAAATTATCTTTCATGACACTGGTCCCTGATGCCAAAAAGGTTGGAGACCACTGCCTTAAAGGTATACAATTTTTATCTATCAGTTATACCTCAATAATGAGTTGAAGTATGGATCATTATGCTTGCTTGCATACTTAAGCTATACCAAGCACAATCATGAGTTTTTCAGCTGAATGTAGGGTTTAGAGTATTACACTTAAAAATAAATAAAAAGAATAATTAAGATTGAAAAATTTAAAGGTCAATAAAAGGATCTAGCTGAGATAGAGAATGAATATAAGAATAAGAAATTATACTTGTGTCTAAATTCCTATTATTGGAGAAAGGAGAGTGGGCTTAGAGGAATAGATTTGAAATTCAGTTAGGATATGTTGAGTTCTAGGGTGTCTGTGAAGCATCAAAATGGACATGTTGAGGTAAAAAATAGGTAAATGCACCTGAAACTTAAGAGAGAATTCTAGAATAGGGATACAGACTTGGAGAGATCAGGAAAATAGGGCTTGTAGCAGAAATTCATCAGCAAGGATAATATCACCTTAGGAAATTGAATAAAATGAGGTTAAATGTGAAACAAATATAGAATCCGAGAGATTACTACTAGTTAAGTGTTGAGAGGAGAAATAAAATCAAAGAAATATGAGCAATACGTGTCACAGAGAGGTAGGAGGGGTAAGATGTATCACCTCATCAAAAATTTAGTCAACTAGTTCTACTATAACATTGTCTTTCAACTATTCTTTCTAACTAAGCACATTTTTCTAGGAATTTTATGTAGTTAATGTAAGAAAATATATTTTAAATATAAATTCTAGAAACGCATAAACTTCTGTGTATATTTGTGTGGGGTGCATTTATATTTGTATATAAAAATGCAATGTCTTTCTTTAACACAAATTAAAAGATAGGTGGTTATTATTTATACCACTGATGAAATGCTAAAGGCATTTAAGACTGAATTTGACAGTGAATGAAAAGAGTTATGCCACAACGTCCATGTGCGCTGGAGTAGACATTCACTTTACACATTTGATCTCAAACTCCTGGCCTCAAGAGATCCTCTCACCTCAGCCTCCCAAGTAGCTGGGACTACAGGTACAAGCCACTGTGCCTGGCTTCACCTGACACATTTGGAAAACTGTGTACCTATATCTAGGCACATTTTCTCACAAATGAACAGCAGTGTCTCTGTATGAAGTCACTAAGTATTTCAGTCCTTCTCAATCACGTGTGAAAGTATTGCAGTTTCTACAGCTTGACTGATGTTATCCAAGTAAAGTGGAAGAAACGCATATGCCATTTAGATGTTATCTATATAAAATTAACATTTTGAAAATTGCTATCCTAAATACTATAAAATTATTGAACATTGTTCTGCCGTCACAATAAGTAAGTTAGTTATGAGAGGAACTATGTTGAAAAGATGTATTAATGACTTTAGAAGGCAAAGAAATTCCAGGGAAGTTAATTTGAATTGGGCAGGAGAGAGATTCTTATTGTTGTCATTTGTTTATTCTTTTTACCCTTTGAACAATTTCAATCTAATGTTTTTGCATGCCCTTTCCTGGCTCAATATTTTGTAAGATAATTCTGGCCACTTGCCTGATTTGGATCTGTCTGTAATTTTATAGATTTATCTGGAGACCTAGCCCTTGAACCCCTGAACATAAAATAACAGTAACAATAATAATATAGAAACACTCATGAATACTTCTTTCATTCAGTTTTAGATCTGTAACCTATCACTGCTCTATACACACAGGATATTTATGTATGTAAATTGAATTATATATCATTAGATTTACTTCATTAACTTTGTTCTAACAACAGGTTTTCATTTACTGGCTCTTCTTCAGGGTTCTGTTCTTTCATAACTTTTCATGTTGATGCCTGCATAGATTGCAGTGTTTGTTGAATAAACTCCATTATTAAGTACACTGTTCTGATCTTTGCATAATAATTTACATAACTACCTCCAGAAATAGATTTTTCCCCCAGGAAGATAGTTTGTAAAGAAAATGTTATGAATTTTTGTTGTGGTCTATTAGTTTTTATCTCCAGGCATAATTAATATTATAGTATTATTTTTAAATGCAGTGCTTTTTAAAATTTAGGATATTTTCCTTAAAAAATAAGACAATCTTCCATATTCTGATAATAACATGATTTAATACAATATAATGCCATGTTTCAATCATTCATTCTGGTTACCATTGGCTTTCTCTAATGAACTTTTCTACATTTTCAGGGTGAAACAAAGATCTTAAAACTAAAGAATCTTCGACCTCAGGACTATGCTAATTATAGCTGCATTGCTTCAGTGAGGAATGTATGTAATATTCCTGATAAGATGGTGTCATTTAGACTTTCCAATAAAACAGGTATGGAACTATCTCTGTATGTTATATGTCTATAATCTACAACAAATGTTTGAAAAACTCTTTAGCCTTCTTACAGACCCAATGATTTCTACAATGTAAGTAGGAAAAAGCACCTTTTTTCCAGAAAATTCTGGGATATCTGAAAAACTTGGTAAATGGACACAGTAAAATTTAATTGCAATATACATCATGTAATATGTTTGTGTATATAGCATACAAAATTATAGTTCCTTAAAATATTGTATTCATAAATTGGACAAACAGAAAAGTATTTTTGTAGAAAATGTCAAAACATTAGGAAGATTGTAACTTAAGTTAGCCTGTGTTCACTAATGTAGACCTCGGAATAGCTATAAACAGATTAAGAAGAATTTACTAAATGAAAGAGCAATGAGAAATCATGTGAGTGAGCCATCTTTTGTAGGATTGTGTATGAAAAATCACCTTAAATAAATATTTGACTTTCTTTTAAGAAACTCCAATTTTCTGTGGCATTTAATTTAAATTTTTACTTTTAAATAATTACTGTAAACTAAAGAATTTTAGAGATCCTTTCTCCATTAACCAAAACCTCTAAAAGTGTGGACTTTGTTGTGTCTGGGTCTAGATCCTTCTTCTGCCACTTAGTAGTTCTTGGATCTTGTTCAATGAATCACTTTTCTCTTCTTTGCCTCATTTCCTTATAAAGTCATAAAGTTGTAGTGTAGGAAGGAATTAACGAGTTGATATATATTAATACATAGTATGTGGAACACATTGTATAAATCCTTCTAACAAAGAGCTGGTCAGCAACTCCAGCCAACTCATTTGATAAAAAAAGATTAAACCTAGGACTTTATTGGATGATAAAAAATGTGTGCTCATACATTGATTCATCAGCGTATGTTCTCTGAGTTGCTAACATTTTGAAATGCTCATTCTTTTATTCATTCGTTCATCTCTTCATCAGAAACTTATTAGTTCCTTATTATGGCTCAGCAATGATAGGCGTAGAGATATTGGCTAAGATTTAAATTGCCCGAAAGTAGAAAATATTCTATTGAGCATCAGATAAAAGTCATTAGGGGACAGTACAAGAACGATGTGAAAGAGAAAAATATACTTTATCAATAAGGATGACTAAGACTTGACAGAAATTATATTTTAGGAAAAAATAGAAATATAAAATCTAGTGGACTTATAAAAGTGAGACTTATAAAAGTTAATAATCTCTTCTCACTTATAAAAGAAGAAATAGGATAGTGAGAAACAAAAAAATAAGACATTAACATATAAAAACTGGTTGTAATTATGTCATTTTTCTTGGCATGAAGTGTATTGTGAATTATTATAACTAATTTTCTTTTTCTTAGTTTCGTTAACATATTTTTGAAATACATATGATCCAGGGAGAAAAATTAAAAATAAAATGAAAGTGGTCCTATAGTATTGCAGAGGAATAAGGAAGAAAAAAACAGTAGATGTATTATTATTTATGTTACAACCTTGCACTTGAGCAGTGCTTTATTAATTTTTAAAGTCTTTAGTGTTTATTATCTCAGTTTATAACTACTGGGTATAAACAGGTAGATTTTTTAAAATCATGTCTTTTCCTATCATCTGTGACATAACAAACTATCCCATAGCAATGAAAGTATCCTCATTGCTTTGTTTTGAGAATGAATTAAATCCACATATACAAAAAATCATTAGAGCCTAAAAAAATGCGATAAAATCATATTTAATATTTGTATGTTTGCACATATGTATTTTTTTATTTTCCAAGTTCCCACAGCTTATAAGGGGTATGGACAAGATTGATTCCAATACTTGAAGGGTTATTCTAAATAGGACACTGACCAGCTCTTAGGTTTTATAGAGCTGGAGAAAATAAACTTAAATCTCAGCCAGAGTGTTTTTTGAGGAATAAGTAAGAACTTATCTTAAAGCTGAAAGGGGAAGATTACTGTGAAAGGATGCCTAAAGTCTTTTAAAGAAACAGATGACTTTAATTCTCAGAGGATATTTGTTAACAATCATCAGCTCAGAAAACAGAATCTTGAGTACTTGTCCTGTGGAGGACACAGAAGCAATGTAAATAGAGATGTTTTGTTTAACCTTTCAGCTTTCTGTTCCATTCTTTATTTTTCAACCTAATATATATCTAGATTAAGCAAACATAAAAATCTTATTGTCCTTTATAAATAATCTTACAAAAATTTTAGATTGATATTCGCTACAAAATGATTATTAGAGCATGGTAAAAAATTGGGTTTAAAAAT